CAGTGATTGGGCGATCTGGGCTATTAGAAACAGCTCGCGTTTAACGCCAGATAATAATGTAGAGCTTTTAGAACACAGAGCAAAAAACAACTATTCGAAAACTGGCTCACTGTTAAGTTATTCTTTCTGAGAAATTCATCCAAAAGTTCGCGTCCAGAAGTCTCTTACCCTAGCTCTTTTTTGGTATCAAATGGATAAATTGGTGTCAAGCGATTTGAGGATGGAGGGAAAATAGGGGAAGAGAAGAGAGAGAAGAAGGCTGATTTATGGAATAGAGAGTTGCACTGCAAGAGGCTAATTCAAATTAGAAATGAAAACCGTTTTAACGAGATTGCATATCAATAGCTCATGGAATGAAATTTCTTCAACTCTTAAATTATGAGTTAGTCATAATCTTGGGAATTACGAGAATCAAGGTGAAAATGCATGTTGTAGAATAAGGGGGGATCGTACAATCGAAGTAGAGGCTAGTCCTGCAAATTCAGAAGCAAAGAAGTTACAGGTACCAGTATTATACCAGTATTATATCTAAGTCCTAATCTCATCTTAAACTGCAGTCAGATATGTATTTAGGTTAAAGTTTTCGTAGAGGAAACTCTGAGAAAAGGTGTACATGGTTTGATAGCAGAGTTTAGAGGAATGCGGCGTATGAACGACTTTACCCAGATGACAGAATTTGCGATGCAGAATCCGTTAGGAAGAAATAGATATAAGGTGATCTGGCAGTAAGCTAAGCGAGAAATTAAGGCTGGTTTCATCCAAGGTCTTGGAAATTGCAGGATGTCGGATGCTTAGATAATGCTCGCGTTGTACTTAGGATTGGTGATGTATCCTATATCCATGCAAACTATGTTTCAACACCAGTTAACCCAAAAAGATTCATCTGTACCCAGGTACTGAGCAAAGGACGGCTAAATGATAAAAAGTCTGAGGCAAAGTTCAATTTTCAGGCTCCTCTACCCAAAACATGTCCTGATTTTTGGCATATGATTGTTCAGGAAAAAACTACTGCTATTATAATGTTATGTAACTTTATTGAACAGGTAGTATGCATCAAGGCGCGCTTTTCTAGAAAATCAAAACAGGAAATTTCCTTTAGAACGCAAAGAAATGTGCAGAGTACTTCCCAACCCAATTGGGACAACCTTTGACATTTGAGGGCGACGTACATGTTGTGTTTAGAGACCAAGAAATGGTAAATCTTTTTGAACGTTACCTCTCAGTTTTTGAAGTGTTCGAGATTGTTTATAGTTGAACTTCCCATTCGACACCAAGGTTCGGGTGCGGGTTACCCGACTTGATGTAAGCGTTCCTGGCCAACCGATTCACACTTGCGCGCATTATCACTGGTTGGACTGGCCAGACCGAGGAGTTCCAGAAGCTGATCTGGCGCCAATCGCTCTTCTGGGAAAAGTCCAAGATAGCACGTGAGTAAATTTGCTTCTTACCTAACAAAAGAAAAAACTTTGCATCTTTAGCACACCAATAGTAGTACATTGTTCGGCTGGTATTGGAAGAACAGGGTCTATCGTCCTGATACAGCATGCCTTAGAG